ATCTTGATGAGAGTTGATGATTTGCTTGCTCATTTGATCACTTCCGGCTGCGCCATGTGGTGATACGTAGGTTTAAGATAATTGAGGAGCACAAGTATAGATGATATCTCTTTAATGGGCAGAGCCAGACTGACGATAGCAGAGGGAATACATAGTGTGCATAAGTTGTAGTGCAAATAAGCTGAGGGTCAATAAGGTAGCAGAAGTAATCACAAGTAAAAAACTGATAATAAACAGATTACAATTACATACATGCTGAGGATTAAAATTGAATTATGAATACAGAATTGCTGAGTGGATAATTAATTATTAAGAATGTGATTCGAACAGGTAAACAAGTGCAGAGTGCAAATTAAATTGTCAAGACAAACAGTAATCACAATAATAAAGAAATACATTCAAACATTTCTCTTCTTCCCGAGGGAGTCAATTGCTAGAAATGAAAAGATTACTTTTATACATGATGAGCAATTGTCTAAATTGATTGACAACACAATATGCAATGGCAAGCAGTAATATACACAAAGCTGTTCTTTACATGCAGCAAAGCGAGGTTAAAATCAGGTGCAAGTCACAAGTTGAGATAAATTTCAGATACAGGAATCAGTTTTTCACTGTCTTTGATTTGGATGACTAATTCTTGATATGTCTGGAGATTTTTTCTGATGATGAACTGCTGTAGTGCAGTGTCAGCGATGGCATCAGCCAGATTGTCAATCATCATGTGCTGTTGCTCTTCTGCTTCGAATTCACAGCCTTCTGCTAATTTTAAAAGTTCAATGATGGAATCATCTACGTCTTCGTCGCCTCTTCTCTTTCGATTTCTGAACATGAGTCGGAGTCGACGAGAGATGGGAAGTCTTTAGGTGAGACTTGCTTGTCAATTCGAGCGACTAGTAATTTGAAGTCTTTCTTCATTTCATCTGTGATGCCCCACACTGGAAACTGGTCCAGTGCCTCATGGCCCATGAAGGCCATGAGGACCCCTGCTTTTATCTCATCTGACTCAGTTGATTTTCCATTTGCCTGTAGCCAGATCTCTACTCCAGACTTACACAGCTTCCAAGATTTTTCTAGCTGGGACCCTAGTTCTATAGGTCTTAGGGTTGGGATTTGCTATTGTGGCTGGTAACTTACTTAGTTTATCGCAGCGATTATCTCAGATTTCTTAGATTTCTTGAATAAAGAAATAAATTAAAATCTTATCACAGATGATTCAGTCTTGAAGTATTTCAGAGGGATTTCTCCTTGGTACCGGCCTGGGTGCCCAGTGAGATAAGATGATGATAGATAAAAATCTTGATGAGAGTTAATGATTTGCTTGCTCATTTGATCACTTCCGGCTGCGCCATGTGGTGATACGTAGGTTTAAGATAATTGAGGAGCACAAGATGAGATCTCTTTAATGGACAGAGCCAGACTGACGATAGCAGAGGGAATACATAGTGTGCATAAGTTGTAGTGCAAATAAGCTGACAAGGGAACCTTTTCAAGTGTAAATCTCAGATTTCGGCGAAACTTGGTGGATTTCAAGGTTATGTGTGAAAAGTCGGGTGGCACTCGAAACTTTTCCTAAACCTCACAAACAGTGGGTTTTTGGGGCCATC